CTTGGGATTAGCTGTTGTAGCTCAGGGGATTAAGCTGCTGTCTACAGAGTGCTGACCCAACTCTCTGCCTATGCACCTGGGAAGGCAAAAGAAGATGGCCCAAATCCTTAGACCCCTGCCACTTAGGTGGGACACTTGGATGAGGTTCCATGCTCCTGACTTTGGCCTGGCCCAGCTCTGGCAGATGTGGCCATTTAGGGAGTGAATCAGTGCATTGACTATCTCTCAGCCCCTCTCCCCTCTTTCTTTTCCTCTCTTCCTCTCTCTGTCCCTCCGTCTATTTGCAACTTTTCCTTGTAAACAAGTAAATATATCTTTAAAAACCTCACTCCAGTGCGGTCACCAGTGACTTCCATGTTGCTAATCCAATGGGTATTTTCAGTCTTCACCTTATTTGACCCTTGGCAATGTTTCACACTTAACCACAGTCTCCTTCCCTTTACTCTGCTGACATAACCTTCTCCTGGGTTCCCTCCTGCCTCTCCATGGCTCCTTTCCAGACTCCATTCTGGATCAGCCATGTCACATGAGGCTCCGTAGGACTCACTGTCAAGTTCTCTTCTTTGATGATTATGCCCTCTTCCTTCTGTGGACCCATCTTGTTGTATACAGATCTACACCCTAACCCTGGGCCTCACCTCTCAGTCCCAAGTCTGTGGATTCTAATTCATATTTTGCACAGCTGTCTGGATGTCTTGAAGTTATCCCAAACCCAATTCCAAGACTAAGCTCTGATCTTGACCTTGAAGACCTACTTTTGGCCTCCTGTGCCATCTCTTTGTAAATGATATCTCCATCCATTTGATCCTGAAAACCAGGATCTCAGGAAATCTTGACCTCTGTCTCCTTCATATTTTATGCCTCTTCCTCTCCATTACTACCTTGCCCCCTCTGCTTGACTTAAAACCTTACAGTGATTTTCTGAAATCTTTTGGCAAAAATCCTTGAAATGAGTGGTTCAGTCTGCCTGGTAAGGAGGCTCTCAGTGTCCGGCCTTGCTGCTTGCTGCGTTCTCTTCACCCTTTGTGCTGTGGTCACACTGGCCTTTTTCCAATCCTTGACATTGATCCAAGTAGTTTCTGCATCAAGGCCTCAGTGCATGCTCTCCCCACCTCTCTTTGCCTGGCCAGTGGCCTAACAGCTTTGGGATTGTGATTAAGCTCATGTCCGCAGGGAGACTTAACACTCACCTCCACAGTGCTCTTGTTCAGGGCACTTCCATTATGATAAATCTCCACTTCTCCAAACCTTTAAGCTCTAGGAGGTCAGAGACTCAACCAGTACCTAACACAGAGCCAGGCATAGACGGATGACTTAGTTAATATTTATTGATCAAATTGAGAAGGTTCCCGTGTCGGGTTCTAGGGATACAATGATGCATAAGGCCTGGGTTTCTCCCAAAAAAGCAATTCACAGAATGGGAGGGTAAGCAGGGTGAGCAGAAGAGAGGATGAGCAAACAGACCCAAGTGTAATGGATGAGAAGGGCATAAAAGAGATAAGCAGGCCTGATGTATCAGAGGAGACAGTGATGCCTTAGCACAGCTCACCTGCCTCCAGCAGTCCAGATCTCTGTTGATTGATCTGTCAGCCCCCTTGGGGCCCTTGAGTCATCAGCATGCTGGGACTGCTGCTGAACTGCTGCTTCCATGAGGTTACCTTTGTAACTCAACCAAGGCAGTGCCACTCTACACTGGCACACCTCTGTGAGGTACCACCCTTAGGGCCTGGACACACTATTCAGCAAGCAACATTTTAAGAGACCTGGCTACAATGAAGGCAGCATGCAAAGCACTGGGCACCTTCCCAACAGCTGTTGACCAACCCTAGGTTGCCTCCCATTTGGGTAGCAGGAACACACCTGGCTTATTTACCTTGGTGCCAGGGCATTTACTCTCCTCTGAACCACACCATGTTAAAGTGGATGGGCACTGGGATCTCACTTAATTCAATACCCTAGTTGTAGGAAGAAGGAAGCTGAGGGTGCAGAGATGAATCTCCTCTAACCTCCTTACCCCTCTTTCTTGGTCTATGTATCTGGACTACATTTCCCAGCCTCCTTTGCAGTTTGGGTGAATCACATGATTATGCCTGTCCCATTGGGATTCTAAGAGGAAGTGAAGCATGCCACTTCCAGGACTGGTCCCCCAAAGCTTCCCTTGCACACAGTACCATGTTTTCCCCTCTGGAATGCTGTTCCCCAGGGCAACTTTGGAAGCTAGACATCAGAGAATGGCAGAGCCATTACAGTAGGAATTCCTAAGGAATGTGTGGGGAAGAAGCCACCCCATGCAACTGCATCAGTGTCCCATGCTGCTTATGCATCTATGGGGTTACGGTATTGCATCTTGTGGGGAGTGGGTGGACAGTGGCATTGTTTGTTGGTATGTCCTAGCCCACATCCAGGAGCATTGGGGCAGGTGGAGGAAGCAATGGACACCCTGCTGAATGCACTTTGGGGCAGCCCCTCTCAGTCGCTGAATGGGTAAGGAATGCTCAACTCCTCATTTGGCCCAGGAATTTGGTCTGAGCTGCTTTCCTGCCCAGCTCATTCTACATCACTCAGCTTGCAGGATGGGACTCGATTTGAGCTGGCACCTGATACATCTGGCTGGCTCCAGAGGGGATCTCTTCCTAGCCATGTGAAACGATCGTCTGGATTTTCAGATCCCTGGGAAGGCAACACTGCAATTATCCCTAGACACAGGTTTTGCACCTCTTTGCTAGTGTGGACCAAAAGATTTTTCTTTTAAATAAAGATGTATTTGTTATTTATTTGAAAAGCAGAATTTCAGAGAGAGAAACTGAGAGATCTTCTATTTGTTGCTTCATTTTCGAAATGGCTACAGCAGCCAAGGCTGGGCCAGACCAACACCAGGAGCCTAGAGTTTCCCCTCGATTGCCCCCATGAGTGCAGGGGCCCAAGCTCTTGGGGCTTCTTCTGCTACCTTCCCAGACACATTAGCAGGGAGCTAGATCAGAAATGGAGTTGCTGGGGCTCGAAATTCCTGGGCCTGTGGGATACCAGTGATGTAGGCAGAGACGTGACTTGCATGGCTGCAATGCCAGCTTCACTGTAGCACTCCTTAGCCCTCATCTAGAACAAGCCTTGTTGCACAGAGGAACAAACTAATGGTCTGATCACACAACTAAACAGTGTTCAAGTCAGGCGAAGCTGCAAAAGCTTTAAGACCAGGTCAGCTACCACTTCCCCCTCTGGCTGTTGTCTTTTGTGTCCTGGGAGAAGGACAAAACAAAAAACAGCTGGGATCCCTCTGCCGTGTGACCCATCTTTTCCACAGGTTTTCCCCAGGTCTCCTCCTATTACTACACAAGATAAGCCCTATCCAGCAAATAGATACCCTGACCTTGATCATCTCTTGGAGAAGGCGAAGAGACGATTAGAGAGCGATAAACCTGGGGTGCTTGAAGGGGAGGAGCAGGTGGCAGGTGCATGCTGTCTCTGAATCCACATGAGAAGCCTGCAAGGCCCCAGGATCTGTACGCTCTGCTGCTTGCCTGGGAGGGTGACCCTTGCATGCAGTGTTTCTGCAATGTGTGGTGTCTTCACCAGCTGGGGCCTGTCCGGCTGGCCGGGCCCAGGCAGCTGTGTGGTCCTTGCCTGTGATCCCAAGAATCCCGTTCAGAGAAGCTGTGTTGTGGGACAGCCGTGAGAGCAAACCGAGTCACTCACAGGATGCCTTCTTAGAAAGACCTGGGAATTCCATGTTAAGAGCCCTGGAAAGCTGGGTTTATTTTTGTGATTCTTAAGAAAACAAAATAAATCTAACTCCTTACCCCTCACCCCCTTGGTGAAGGTGAGCCTGTTTACACACAACAGACTTTTTTTTTTTTTTTTTGCCAAATGACTCACTTGTACTGAGTCACCAGTGAGCGGGGCCTGCGCGCATCTGCAAGCCGCCCTGGACAGGGTGATGCGCTTTTGCCCTTGGTGGGTGGGTCATGGAGATGGGGAGACAGATGCAGGCAGGAGAGGAGAGATGGGATGGAGAAGCGGCTGGGGCCTCATGTGTCCACGAACATTAGACAATTAGATGCAGTCTCCAATTCAACTCAGGGGGGTCCGGTATTCATTTCGGGTGTCTGAGTTGTTGCAAAGTTGGGGGCTGGGAACAGAATCAGCGCAGTCCCAGTCACTCCCCGATAAATCATGGTAATCTTTGGGTCTAGCTTCGGGGTCTTGGGCAAATTGTTTTCCCACCATGAGCCTCTCCTAAATCCTAAAGTTTAGACATTTGATTTTTTATTCGCCTAACCTGTAGCTTGCAGCCCTTTTCCTGAATTCGCCCCAGGGGGACCTGAACTTTTCCTTTTCTCTTTCCTATGGCCTGGGTGGTAATCCATCCTGGCCGTGATTTCTCCGCGCAACTCTTGGTGTGCTCCAAAGGCAGCGGGTCGGATGGGGCCAGGATCCAGGCTTGGGGAGGAACCGAAGCTTGCCGTCCCGGCCAGAGGGCGACAAAAGGAGGTGGGTGGCGCTGGGGAGGAAGGTGCCTCGAATCCGCTAGGCAATAGCCAGGCGGGGAGTGGAGGGCGGGGCCCCACATCCCTCCCGTGCCAGAGAGTACTAGGTGTAATCGAGTTAGTGCTGATCACCACTCAACTCGCCGGGACCCGCCTTTCGCCGATGCAGGGAGTTGGAAAAAGTGGTTCTGCTCGGGAAGGCTTCTTTTCTCTCCCATAGCGCAGAGCGCGGCGGTGAGGGGCGCGCGCGAGCGGCGGGTCCCGGCCACGGCGGGCTGCGCCCCCGCCCCCTTCCTGCCTCTCCCCGCCCCCGGGCCGCGCGCCGGCCGGGTGATGTCAGCCCGAGGAGGAGCCGCCCGCCCCGCGACCCGCCCGCGCTAATTAGCATGGAGCGGCGCCGCGGGCCGCCCCCGCCGCGCCCGCCCGCCCCCGGCCGCCCGCCCGCGGCGCCCACAACTTTTGAGGCGGGGAGCGCGCTCGCAGCCCCACTTCGCTCACTTCCCGACCCCGCGTCCCTCGCGCCCGCGGCTGCCCCGCGCTCGCCCCGCGCGCCGGGCATGTGAGCGCGGGCGGCGCCGCCACCATGGCCTCGCTGCGCGCCTCGCGGTGGCCGCCGCCGCCGCTCCTGCTGCTGCTGCTGCTGCTGCTACCGACGATGGTCCCCGGCGGGACGCGGGGCCAGCCGGCCAGCCCCGTGCCTGGCACGCCCCTGACCGGCGCCTGGATGCCTCAGACCCCCGAGGGCGGCCCTGAGTGGGGGCCAGAGCATCGTGACGGGCCCACGCCCCCAGACCCCAGGCAAACTGCCCCGGGGCTGGGCGCCCCAACACGGCGGGGACACCCGGGTCTGGTCCCCCGAGGCCGGAGCACGGGTGAGTAAGAAGCCGGCTGGGCGCTGCACAAGCCTGGAGCAGGCGGGTGAGGGGTGGGGGTCGCGTCCCCAGCCCTTTTAGGCCCTTCGGCGCTGCGCGACCCTGGCGTGCGTGCGTGGGGACCCTGAGGTTGGGAGGCAGGGAAGCTTATGCAGGTGGCTGCCCCGGGGGTGTGACCATCCTGTCTGCTACCCATCTTTTAGAAGCAAACTTATTACGGTGGGGGTGCCCTTCGTCCACCCCTCCCGCTGTGGGACCAGGGGAAGGGGAGGGGGAACGGACCCCCGCGTGGCCGTGTCCCGCCTTGGGGCTGGTGTCCGGCCGCTGACCGGTGCCATTCTCTTTTCCCCCACTATACAACGCAGTTGGCCTCTCCAGGTACAGAGCTCAACTTTTCAAACCTAAATAACGTATTTCTTCATGGAAGGGTTTTTGTGCAGAGGACCTTAGCCAGGACAAAGGATGTAGTTTGGAACCAAATCATCCACTAGTTCTACTCTGAAGCAGAGGAACTGGGGCGTGGTTAGGGTGTGTGTGTGTTTGTGTGTGTGCAAGGTTGAACACCCTCTTCCCCTCCCAAGACAAACCCGCACACAGGACCCTTCATGTCTGGGACATCCGCCCACCTCCTTCTCTGGGAGCTGCTTCTCTAGGCGAGGCCACTGCCTGTCCCATCCCTGCTACCTTTAGCGGCCAAGGTCCTCCTTTGGGTCTGGAAAGAAAAGCAAAGAACTAAAGTGGAACCCCAAAGGCAGTGCCATTGTGGCCCGTCGAGATTGTCTCTTTTGGGCTCAGTTTCTCCATCTGCAAAATGGAAGTCATGAGCCCCCTTCCCGCTAGGCCTTCTAGTGATGATGTGACAAAATGAAAGTAAAAGGTGAGTGGAAAGTGCTTTGAAGAGAGTCCCTCCCGCGCTGGAGGGAGTGGGTGTCTTCCTGTTAGTGACATGGAGGTGGCCTGGAGAGGCCAGGCTCTTGGCAGGTGTGCCAAGTCGTTGGTGTTAAGTTTCACGCGTCGCAGAAGCTTTCTGCTGTGCGGAGGAGCTGGCTGTAGCCCACCCAGGGGCGCTCCCTGAACTCAGGGAAGACACTTGGTCCTTGTGAATTGGCAACTCGCTGGTGTGAGATTGGGAAACCGAGGAATACCGAGCGGCAGTGAATGGAAAAAGACACTGTTCCAAAGGGCTGCGGGAGCCAGGGCCCCTTGGGACCTTGACTTTAGGCGACTCCCAACACTGTTGGAGTGTCCGCAGGAAAGGGGCCCAGATCATAAACGAAAACATTTCCTGACTTTCTCTGGCTGCAGCAGTAACGCAGGAGCACTCAAGGCTGGAGTGTGGCCGTGAGCCTTTATATGCAGAAAATGGGGTGCGGGAGTGGACTCTTCAACAGGGGCACCGGGAGGCTGGGGTAGTTTCCCCTGGCTGATATTTCAGATCTCCTTGGCCCACAGGCCCTGGCCTTGTTAGGGAGGGCGTGAAAGGGATGGTGAGATGGGGGAATTGGGGGTGTCCCTGATGAGTGAGGCTGTGCAGGAGTCTCCTTTCTTCTTCACAGCTGGGAAACCCCACAGATCCTGGATGGGGGTTACAGAGTGGTAAAGAATCAGGACCTCAAGTGACCCTCACTGTCCTCGTAGCCATGGCAGGTGACTGTTGGTCTGGCCTTGGCAGCCTCTCCCAGTGTGATCTGATGTGGGGAGGTACAGTGTGAGCATAATGGAGACTTTGGGTACAGGAGGCCCTGGCCAGAATGCACTGGAGAGTCCCAGAAAGCAGGGAGGGAGGGGGCGAGGTAGAAGATCGTTGTCCTTCTCTTAGCTAAGGTGCCCATTCTTCCGGTGGCTCCACCAAGGCTGCTCAAGCAGTGCCTGGGCTTCAGCTGGCCCAAGCCCCAGTGTCAGGTGGAACTTTGGAAATGGGAGAGCAGAGGAGAGAAGAAACTGATGGCTTGCTGCAGACCGAATATGGCTAAGCACCCAGGCAGGACCTATGCTTGTTGTCTGATAGTGACGCCAGCAAAGTCAGGGAGGGAGAGCAAATACACAACAAAGGAGAGAACCCGTGGTCAAGTCAGCGATCCAAGGGGCGTGATGGTCAGGAGTTTATATTTTGTTACCAGGTATCCCTTGGGTTCTGGCACTTGTCTCACAAAACAGCAGGTCTCAAGGCTGAAAGAAGGGCCTCTGAGAGGTGAGCCACATTGTATCCCGTGCAGATGTCGCCCTTGCCAGATGTCACCCTCCCCAGCACCCCTGACAGATGGCCCTCCAGGCCCCGCACCAGTGCTTTTGTATTTGCTACTCAGGAGCCCTTCATTTGATGGCTGGCAAAATCACCTGTGTCTTCTTGTGGCTATGGGGCGCTGGTGGTCAGCATCTGGCCCTTGGGGCTTGGGCCTCCAAATATTGAGGGTACTTCCAGAAGCTAGTGGAAAATGCAGTTTAGGCTGCTGCCAGATACTTTGAAATCCATGCATAGTTCTTCTGCAGTGTGTATCAACTTTTTGAAGATCTCTCACAGACTGGTGTCCTTTGCAAGGACCAGAAATGTTCTTTTCTTCCCTGGAGGGCAGGGAAGGGGGGCTGTTTCTAGCCCTTGTGGCAGAATGTAGGGTTCTCAACACTGTGTTCCATGTGTGGTTGTGTGTGCCTGTATCAGACTGGAGAGTAGCCCCCTGTTCGTGAGGCCATTGTTGAACTTTTGTATCCAATTGTTACTCTCCCCATTGTCCCCATTGTCCCTGCACTTACTGCAGGTGTTTGGGCCCAAGGTGATGGATGCTGAAATCCATAGGGTCTCTTTTTCTGCCTGTGTGTTCTTGCTGCTCAAGGCTTCCCAGCCACAGTTCTAAACTGAGCACTGAGTTGATATGCCTTGATTTTGCACTCCAGAGGTCTCGCTTTCATTGTGAAATCTGCAGATGAAGGTCAGGGAGGGGGGGAGGCTTAAATCATAATGCAAATCAGTGCAGAAGGGAAGAACTTTCCCACCCAAAGGGGAAATGACGGCCAGCAGCTAAGCAGCCAGTCCAAGGAAGAATAATCTTAGAAAAATGCAGCTCCCTCGGGGAAAGGAACTGCCTTGAGCTCAGCCCCTTTCTGAGCTGTTAAATAGCTGTCCCCTGAATTGCTCTAACTTTGTGGGCCAAGTTCGTCATTGAACTTGGCTGCTGGGAGAGCCAGCATGGCAAGGTGCGGTGAAGGCTGGGTTAGACAAGAGCAGCCCCACGAGGATGAGGAAAGTGCCACCTGTCTGTGGGGTCGGGGTAGGTTCCTGAGAAACCCACTGGCTTCCAGAGGGGTGCCCTCTATAGGAGTGTGGGCATAGGGATTCACCAGGGCACTTTGAGTACTGTGTGGCATCATCACCATTGTTCTGTGCTTATATCACTTCCCCAGGCCTGTGTGTGCAAATGCCCAACTGATGTCTTTGCTCCGGAGCAGAATGGTGTGGACAGAGGGACTCTCAAAGGGATTTGATGCCCGTGTTGGTCGTTATGGTCTCCGAGGCCATGGCAGCAACAGCGAGTCCCTGCAGTGGTCCCCACACCTTCCAGCAGCCCTGCCCAGCTGGCTGCAAGTCGTCCCTGATTGCAGATGCTTCAGAAAGAAGCCCCCAGGGACAGATGGCAGTGTGGTTTCCAAAGTCACTCACCACCCCCTCCATTGGCTCCCTCCTTCCCTCGCTCTGCCTCCTCCTGTGTGAGAAGATCTCTGGTGTCACAAAGACTCCTCAAGGAACTGGCAGGGACATGCACACACGACTTTGCTCCTTGTGTAGACTCGTAACTTGGAATGCGTGTGTGGGTGGGTGCATTAGTTGGCCCTTATCCCACCCAGCTCTCAAAACACTCAAGGAGGGATGGCATTTCCTTCTGACAAGCATGGACACCGAAGGCTGGTGGGGTCAGGTTACACCACACACAGGGTAGGCAGGATTTATGACCAAATCTGCTTGCACACTCGACAGTCGTGTAGAATCTCCGTTTGCTTCTCTGTAAAATGGAGCCGTGGTTGTGCTGGATGGCTCAGGTACCACCCCCTACCCCCGCCTTCTCAGCATCTCTTCCTCATCCTCAGGCTCCTGCCTTTTTTGTAGAGATTAGGGACCATGATTAGGGTTTGGGGAGAGCTCTGGAGACGGCATTGGGGACGACCCACAGAGTAGAAATCCTGGTTTCCATATATATATATATTTTTTTAATTGTGCAAGAGCATATGTTTTTCTGCATGTAGAAAAAAATACATTTTGGATAGAGATTGTGAATGCAGCCCTCCTTACACACTGATCCACAGGCTGCTGTGCCAGAGGTGGCCGCACTGCTGGTCAGCCAAGCTGAGATGGCTGACTTTATGCGTGAGCTCTTTCCTGAGAACGCTGTGGCAGGGGCTGCTGTCACAAGGCGGTTGCTACAAGTACTTTCTCAGCACTAAGAGAGGGCAAAGGGGACCCCACTCAGAAGCTCTGATTCCCCCCCTTCTCACACACCTGCTGGCCGTCCGACCCGCGAGGGCAGAGAGGAAGCTGTTACCATCCCGCCTGCTCCCTTGCCTTTTGCTGGAGAGTGGCAGATGTCCCCGACTACGTCACATGGGACTGCTTTGTACATCCGGAAGTGCTCACCAAGTCCTCGCCGTGCTGGGAATTGCTGTGCCAGCTGACGTGGAAGTTATGTTCATCCATGCACCCTCTCCATCCCCCACGCCCTCCTGCTGTGAGCACCCGTCTTGTTGGGATCACAGACATCAACCCTGTAAAAAGTGAAGACTCATAAGCCAAGAAAGTGAGTGATTCAGAAGCCAAGAAAGGGCCTCAAATGACCGTACTGACCAGGGCAGTGGTGCAGATGGAGATGGCTCAGCTGTGGCAGGCAGAGCTGGAGAATCCAGGGAGGCCATGCCGACGTGGTCCGGCCGAGAGTTCGGGAGGTCGCTGGCGTCAGCAAACTCTCCCAGGTTGAAGACGGCAGGTGTTTAGGATGTGGGTGACCCACAGGCAG